GCGACGCCCCCGTGTGGCTACCGGGGGGGGGGGGACCCCCCCCCCCCCCCCCCCCCCCCCCCGCCGGGCAAGCCGTCAGTCGCGGTGGGCGTGGCTCTGCGGCGGCGGCGTGATGCTGAAGACCTGGATCTTCAGGTGGGAGGCGATCTGGAGGCAGACGCCGTTGCAGTAGCGCGTCAGATCCACTAGAGACAGGATCTAGAGACAAATCATCAGAATGATCAATTTCAGTTATAGACGGTATTTATCAGAGTGGGGTAAATAAAGACATCAGTTGGGCAGAGTGCTCAACACAATAACCAAAAGACTGAAGACCAAGAATGGGCAACCTATGGCCTGGGGGCTGGATACGGCCCAGTAGGGCTTTATATTCTGGCCTGTCGAATTTGCCCTAATTATTTTATTAAATTATATTATGAGTTGACGACTATCATTAGACGTAATTTTGTCGATGACATGTTGCAGCTTAGGTCTTACTCTACCAGGATCAGTGTTTGCAGCAGGGTGAGTTGAGATTATTAGATGGAATGAAAACCAACATCCAGTATTAGCAGGACTGAACTGCTACTTAGTGCATGCTGGGAATCACTGCTATAGAGCGCTTTAATCAATCATTAAATATTTGTTTGCAGTATCAATCTCGTGACCTAATGAATGAATACTGACTGCTGCAGAAGAATTTCAACACGTTTTTCTTACTTTTGTGCAGTTCTGAATGCAAACTCTGTTATCGCCAGATAAAAGAAAAATACTCAGCTGATAGCAGGTAGTGAAATATTTGGAAAAGAAAAATTCATACTTTTATGTTTTCTGCATGTTTCTCATCAAATTAGAGCATTTGGAACTTTTTGGAATTTTTCGACAAAATCCTAATTTCACAGGTCACGGTAAAAAGTTGTGACCCTCAGTACACGATACAACAATTACTCATTCTTTGAGCTGGTTGTATTTTTGCACTGAAGCATGTAGAGATTATTTCACGTCGATATAGGTTATGTAGGTTAGACAAACAACCAGAATAGACCCAAAGAAATGTGTCCACTTCATTAGGTACACTTCGCTGAACTATTATTTCAGAGAGATCTGAGGTGTGGGTGCAGTTTTTGGGACTACATGGTCACTGTTGAACTACCGTTGAACTGCAATAACTGGTGTACCTAATAAAATGGACATCTAGTTTTGTCAATGACATAACGATATAAATCTGAACTTTTTAAATTCTAGGATGGACTCCCACTGTTTTGAAAGGACGAAAGTTCCAAACTGACCATGGCGATCCAGAGGACGATGTACTCGTCTACGAAGCTGTTAAAGTACTGGTTGAGGAAGAGCAGGCCTGGCCCTAGGAACGCAGTGTCCGGGAGGTGCAGCTCACTCTTGGTCATGTGGGCGACCTACAGAGGACACGCGGAGAATCAAACACCTGAATCACACGACAGAATATAAGACAGAGGGAGGCTGAAGTGAATGCGTACCACTAGCTTGTTGGATATTTTGGAGATGACCATTCCGAACGTCAGCAGGTACAGACAGGGGTGGTGCTCGAACAGGTGACTGGATGACTTTTTGAAAATGATGAAGGCCAACGTGAGGATGAGGCCGATGTGCAAACCAGGACTCAGGACACTGGTGTCCTACGAAGCAGTAGTTCACGTTGTTAGCGTCACTCGTGCCACCTCTAAACCGACATTTTTTTTAATATGTTTTTTGTGTACTTACAGCTACCGTGGAGCCATTTTTGCCAACGCCACCATTCATGATGACGTAAAAGTAGTTGTAGCAGGAGTAGAGTGCGCCTCCGATGATACCAATGATCGGGAAGATGTACAGCTTCAGTCCGAGGAGCGGCAACTACGGAAACACACAGGTCACATCATATGAAGAAATGATTTTCACTGTAGAAATGGATAAGGATGTTATAACAGCCAAGGTCAGACTACACAATGTTATTTGTTTGTTATTGATTTAATCACAGATCCCTTGTCAACGGACACACATGACAAATGACCACAGACAACAGAAGATTCAGAAGAGGTTTATGGAAGTCTGATAAGATCACATTCACACCAAACATCTAAAAATGAATTTTAAATATGTGGATTTTAGATTGAAAAGTTACATCAGTTACATCATTTCTGTCATGTGATGTAAAGTCAAGACTCCGGGGGCAGCACAGAGTAAAACCGAAAGAAACTATTTAAGAGTGTTAAAAGGCTCATTATGATATGATTAGTTAGTGTTGAAGACTGACGGTTAGAGAATCATCCAGCATACACTCTTAGTGCGGTTCTTTTTTTTTGTGAGTGTGTGTGAGCGCACATTATCTCTGGAGTTTTTCACTCACTTACCGTTGAATACCAGAGGCTAACTCCACCGAAGGCTGACATCAAATACATGGTCATGATGGCGAACTGCACCTCTGTGACGTCGACCCTGAGGACAATGAAACAGGGGTTAGGGTTAAAGGCTGGCAGATTAAAAAGCAGAGTCGTTATGACTAGCTCTGTCATTTAAAAAAAAAATCATAGCTAATCTTGTGCAAGCTATCTTAAAATAAATTTCAGCAATTTTAATACATTTTTTTCAGTTAACGTTGAGCTAATTTTAGCTACGTTTGGTCAACGTTTTTTGGTATAACATGTAGCAGTGGCTAAAGTTAGCTAAATGGTGTTTTGAGTGTTGTATTATAATTTTTAGTTTGTTTTGGGCTTATTCAGGACATGAATAAAAATTATAATTAAATTCCTGATTTTCACTTCTTAAGTAAAATGTTTGTTAGTTTTTTTTTTTCTAAATAAAATCTTTGGTAGCTAAACCTGAGGCCTTGTTTCTTTTAGAAAATTCTTGGCTAAAATTAATTTAGCTTTATTCAAAATTATCCATCAGATTTAATTAATTGTTTCCAGCTAGCTATCTTTCATGTGGTGTATGAACGACTTCTACCAGTATATGTTAGTGTTTTAATGTTAAAGGTATTATGCCCCAGCCCTGGATAATTTCTGATCCTACTTACAGGCCGAAGCGCAGAGTCCCGGACACATAAGTCTGCCAGTGGGCACAGAAGAACATGAACATCCCAATAAATCCACAGAAGAATATCCAGTCTGGGAATCTACCGATCCCACATGAGATGCACGTTCCGACGGCAACAAACACTGCAAAGGAAGGATGACACAGGAGTTTAAGGTATGATTTAGGATAATGCGATTGTATAAGTGAGTCCTAGGACCAGGAACTTCAGACGTGGGCATGGGTTGTACATTGAAGTACCTGTAGAGACAGCATCACAGCCATGGTCAAAGAGCTCCCCCAGTGGTGAGCTGCTGTTTGTCCTACGAGCCTGTTTCCCATCAATGGCATCCAGAGACTGGTAGATGAACAGGCCGAGGGCGCTGAGGATAAAAGCCCAACATGGAGCCTGAGGAGCAAATGAGGCTGCGTTTAGTAAACTGGAATCAGAGTAATACAACTTCTTAAGCCTGGTAGAACATTGTAGTTTTTAATGTAAATCTAATCTGGTAACTTGGCCAAAACTTTGAGTCAATGCCTACCTGGTATGACTAAAACCGAAGTACAGACCTAAGTTAGGCTGCCCTTGGCCGGACACGAAGACAAAGAGCACCTACTGATTGTTAAGGCCGTACACCACTCACCTTTATTCACGCTTTAATCCGCCAAATAAAAGACATAATAATAAAATATATATATATATATATAATATTTTCACCTCAAGCATCAATTGGATAGCAACAGTGTCACCTACTGGTATTTATTAACCTATAGAATAGAACAGAATGAGAATTATTTTTTTACATAGGTATTCTAGTGTGGACAGCTTTGTACAGATGCAAGAAAATATTTATAATATTTTAAGAGAGTAAACCCCTTCCTTTAATGTTTAAGATATTTAAAAAAATTATTAAAAATATACAGAGGTAGAAATATGAAGAATAATGAACAATGGATGGTTGGGAAAGTGAAACTGATGATTTGATCCCTGTTGTCAGATTCTGTCTAAGTGTTAACTAAACTGTATTTCTGCACTGACACCAAGTACGTATGCGCATGCGTACGGTCAGGAGAGATTCCAGCTGTCAGCGATGGGTTGGTTCCTTTAACTAGGGCGGAGGTTAGGAGACCATCTGGACACTAGAGCTGGCCAAGAATGTGTGTTTACAGCAACAGTGTGTGTTCCAGAGGAGACAAAGAGTGTCTGTTTTTTTTAGAGACACACTCATTTCATGCCGAACGACACAAACCTAACATCCTAGTGCTTTCCTCTAAAGTCTGCGGTGGCGGCAGAGATACAGTCTGCTTGTTTAGTGTTACAAAGGTGACTTTAGGAGAAAATGTGCACTGAGGCCACAGGTTCATGTGAGTTCGTATCATATGCAGTTGTTTATACAATGACTTCCCTGTCACAATGCAAACATAAGAGTGGACCACAGGCTGGACTTTCCACTGTTCCCACTTTTATTTATGACTTAAAAAAAAAAGTTCTGTGCTTGTGTAAAATGCTACTAGTGGCAGGATTGGACTGTGGACCCGGTTGCAAAGGTCTCGTAATGGACAAAAGTCCAAAACTGATAAACACAAAATCTTTAACATGCTGCATAGCAAACCTGGAGATACAAGTCAAATGGATAAAATCCGTTTTGGTCTATGCTACAATGTATAATCAACTATTTAGTCACTGTAAGATGAGGTCTTTATCTGCAGCTCTTTTGTCTATTAATTAAATCAATTGTTTAATGATTGGGCCACCACGTTTACTGATAACTCCATTAACCATTAATTGTAGCTGAACTTTAAAACCTCTATTCGTAAAGTGAACTGTTGAGGAGAAACATAACACACCACAAAAACCACAAGTCTACTTTCCAAGTCAAACTGAATCCGATTCACGATTCGATCATTTGAAGTGCAGTGATTTATAATCAGCGCTATAAACTTTTATATTTGAATAATCGCGAGTTTTGTTCAGTTTTGTTTTGATCGAGATACAATCTGAGAGGCAGCACATGTTTTTATCCATAAACTTCACTATAGTTGAATACAATGTTCACTATCTTTCTTTCGCCCAAGCTTCTGCGAGCAACACAATTGCATACAATGAAATCACTGTCATAACGAGGACAGCAGTTTTTGACGAGGGTAAAAAGTTGGCCGAGTAGACTTTAGTTAGTGAGACACTTTCATTAATTCCCATCTAAGCGAAAACTTGTATGGTAAAATAAGTTCACAACATTAATTTAATACATTTTTGAATAGAAATGGGCTCTTTATCTTGATCAGCGCCTGGTACAGAATTCCGCCTGGGAACTGGTGCCAAGGTCGCTCTACTCACCTCCTCTGTTGCAGTGGGACAATAATACACGAGCACCAACGTGGAGACGATATTGACCAGCAGTCCTGAAATAGTCAACGCGTTTGGCGCAATCCAGGTTGGAATTTGCTGGACCAGCCAGTTCCCGCA